TTATTTAAAAATTTATTATATATATTTATATATTTAAAAATGATAAATATTAATTTAAATTTTTTACTGTTTTTAAATATCGGTAAAAAAAAATTGAATAGCAAATTGTTTAATTTTTAATACAATGTTACAAATATAAATAATAAAATGAATCTAATAAAATGTATTAAACTAAAAAATATATATTATTAAAATTTTTAATTGTACAAAAATAAACATTGCAATATAATATAAAATTTTATACTAAAAAAAATATATTTTCATTTAATATAGCATCATAAATTTAATAATAAATTAACATATAATAATAAATGCAATTATATACATAATTATATACACATATATTAATTTCAAATGTATTTACCAAATAATATTTTTATATATTTAATAATCCATAATAATCTATTGAGTGTAAACAATAAATATTTATATTATTCAAATCATTACTAACATTATAAATAATTTGTTAGTAATAATATAAATCATAATTATAACTATAATTTTTTTCTTTTTAACTTCTTCATAAAAATACATATTTTTAATAATGTATACATGTACATTTATAAATGAATATTTTCATTTGACATACTGTTATAGAATATAGCTGAAGCGCCGTCTACCTGTTGCATTTACGACTACAAATATCTATATTTCAGTTTCATCAAAAATCCTTCAGAAGAACGAAGGACTAATTGGATTTCTGCTTCGAGATTTTACCGTTATGTCCTTATTGTATATATATTCATACTTGTAAATATTAAAATGTATTAAATATTAATTTTAATTTTAAGGTATGAGAAGATTTCATAATTTTTAGGATGTTTAATATGTCTCTGCTTGTTATGCGTTGCTCTAGTAATATTTCAGTAATCTTAACGATTCATGTTCTGGAAATGTAATTTTGCTAAGCTTTAAAAAATCAAAATGGCTTTTTTGTGTCCGGTTCGTATACGACGAGGAAAGAAAAAGAAACGTAAGTAATAAAATATTAAATTGAATAGAAGAAAAACTTTTCAAATTTAAATATGTATACATATAATATATTGTATATTATATTTTAAATTACATNATAACAGGAAGTGCTAGTATTGAAACATTAGTTAGAGTAGGTATAGAAAAAGAAAATGGTCTATCACCAGATAGTAAAATGGTTATTGTTCATGATTTTACACCATGTGTTGATGATGAACTTCAAGTAAAACGGGGCCAGGTTAGCAATTTTTTTCTATTATATATTTTTAAATAAGATTAAAATATATATATATATATATATATATATATATATATATATGTATAACCTAATATATATTTATTTTAATTTTATGTTCTTGTATTTGCTTTATGTTCACAAATATAAGTTTAACTTTAATTTCTTCTCTTATGTTGAATATATTGCATCTTCATCAGTATTATTTTGTTTTGTTTTCTTTTACATGTTTTAGGTTGTAAATGTTTTATATAGAGAGAATGATTGGGTATACGTAATAGCAGCTGAT